TTCTACCTAATTCTATGATTACATTTTTTTTTTTTGTCTTGGATTATATAGGAGGAACCAATTAGTACTATATTTTACTTTTCCTTCATTCTAAAAAGAATGATATTATTATCTAAGTTTAGCCATTCTTTTTCAATTGGAGAATGTAAACTTTTCGAGAGTACTCTAATAATGAAATACAACATGGTGAGAAAATCTCAATTGACTAGTAAGAAATGTGGCGAGTAGATGATGCCCCTTCATTCATTAACAAGAGGGATATTTATACAAATTACGCTATTTTGATCTCATTATTTAAGTTTTGGCTTTGTTAAGAAGAGTGGTGCAAAAAATGGCTCTCCGCCCGAAGTTGGAGTTCAATTCCTAGAACAACAACAACAACTCAGTATAATCTCACTAGTAGGGTCTGGAGATGATAATGTGTACGCAGACCTTACCCCTACTATGTGGTAGAGAGGTTGTTTCCGATAAACCATCGGCTCCCTCCCTCCAAGAACTCTCTACCTTCCTCTTGGGATGACTCAAACTCACAATCTTTTGGTTGGAAGAGGAGGGTGCTCACCACTAGAGCAACCCGCTATTGTCAAAAGTTCAAGTCCTAGAAGATCACCAGAATTTAGTACAAAAAATCCTAGTGGATCATCAGAAGTTCTGATGTCAAATTGTGTCGTAACTTTATAATAAATTGTTCATAAATAATATGGACTCTATGATCTTGTCACAACTCACAAGTGCTAACGAATCACTATAGGATTTTAGTACAAATTGAAAAATGACATGGACTCTCATTACTTTCAGCTGTAAATATTATTTAATTATATCATCAAAAACACTAAAACGTAAAATGCAGGCCATTATATATCAAGTACTGCAGGATTCAATTTTTGAACTACTCTCATATCCCTTCCAAATCAAACCAACACGTTAAAGTTGAAACAAAGGGAATAACAAAAATGTTCGAATCTTTTATCTACTTTTGGATCTACTTTAGCACGCTGCATCTTCTTAATTTATTAATACTTATTTTCAATTGGCTATTTTGTCAGTTTAAAACTTTAAATTGGTAATAAAGGTTTCTCTAACTACCAAATAAGAAAATTAACTATGTTTCTTTATTTTTATTTTGTTTCTCTTAACATGGAAAGGACCACGGGATACATGCTGACCTTGATTCCCACTTCAATATTAAATTTTGTACTATATGCCAATGAGAATTGATTTTGCCCATAATTAATCTGACGCTGAGTCTGATCTGTTAAAAGGATGAACGGTGATAGGATTGGATATGACAAAGTTTTTATTAATTTAGAGTACGTTTTAAATAATAAGAATGTATTCCAAGAAGGGGGTAAAATCGATAAACCGCACCAAACCGACAAAGTGTCAAACCGGAAAAAACCCCGACCATAATTGGTTTGATTTGATTTGGTTTGGTGTTGAAAAAAAAAATCGATCATAATTGGTTTGGTTTGGTTTTAACTAAAAAAAGTCAAACCGAAATCAAACCAACCCGACATTAAATTTATACAATTTTTAAAAATATTTTATACATATAAATATTTATTGTAATATAATTTATAATATTTCTTAAACTTGTTCACAATTTTATCTTTAAACGTATTATTTAAAATTTGGATCTAAAATTCTTGAATGGTCCAATAAATTTTATAGCCCATAAAAGTAGTAATTCAAATAAAGTTCAAATCAATATTAATGCTAATAAAAAAAAATCAATTCAACACTAGAAATGACAATAGTGCATATCTAAAAAAAAATTAGTTTTGCATTTGTTTATAATAAAAATGCATAACCTAGTTTATCTTTTTCTTTAGTGCTTAGTTGTGTAATTAATACGTAGTACTTATTAGCTGTACTTATTTGGGCATGACTGACGAGCGCAAAACACAACACAAAATTATTGCTCGCTAGTCAAAGATAGTATAGTTAATTATCGTCTCCACATGGATTTAATTTAAATAGTATTCGAATAAACTTTAGTTGATTACTATCGAAAAAAATTAACACTTGATTTGATGATTATCAACTACGATTAACTACTAATTATTAAGCAATTAACAATTGATTACAAAAAATAGCAGATGAGCAACAAAGAGATATCAATTAGAGAAATAAGGGTAATTGACTAGATAGGTGCAAGATAATTGACTCGAGATCCAATTCTTGAGTTAGTTCACTCTACAATACTGTTGATTCTCAAGAATTCAATGGATAATTAGATTACACATGAAGTTAATGTTCATCTCTCGATTAAATGTTAATTTCAGTAATTAATCCAATTGAAGCACGATAAACAATTGCAACGAATAGAATGATGGTTATGGTCTAAAGGATAACTTCTCATGAATATTTTCCTATTTTCTAGTTCGTTTAACAATTCAAGAGGCTCTTTCGATTACCTATTTGAATCACGAATTTAAACTAGAGCATAAGATGTAAAGAAATTCAATATCAATCTCCTCTTTCGATTAAGCAAAATAAGCAATAACTCCACAATACAAATTAAAACTCCATCAATTAATTCCAATAATTATCAAGAATCGTATCCCTAATCAAGTTACCAAAACACCATATTTGTCAATACCCTAATAAAAATTACTCCATACCAATGGAAAAAGTCATCTCAATAAGGTTTAAAAATATAGAAAATATCAATGCTAATGATTCGATACAAATTTTCGTATTGCACTGATTGTTGGTTGAAATCTTGATGAATTCTTGTGTCTTTTTGCCTTAGTTGCTTCTCAATTCTTTAGTAGGTCAAAAAGTGCCTTCAAAAGCATATTTTTGGTGTATTTATACCCTGTAGGAACGAGCCCGAACGAAACTACCCTTTCCTAGCCGAAATAGGAAATAACTCTGAGAAACTTGTACAGGCGCGCCGGCGCGGCACGCTTGTGAGGATATCTAAAGAGTGAACTTTCTGACATGAAGCCAATTTACACAACCGCGCAGCGCCCCATGCGGCGCGGCAGTGTTATTTTCTCAGAGTAAATCGCTTCTTCCACTTTTTGACATCCGGACTTGGTACTCGATCCCCCAACGTGATCACGTCTTAATTTTTTGGGCTTCTACTCAGACTTCAAAGCTCCAACTTGTTCAATTTAGCTCCAAATTAACTTTTTAACTCGGAATCACTTTCTGCAAGTCATAAAATATGTAATAAGTGTAATTCACTATCATTTAAGCTCAAATACACGTAAAATGCAATAATTTGAATGCAATACTATGACTAAAATACGGGTTTCTGGCTTACCTCAACACCCCACACTTAGACCATTGCTCGTCCTCGAGCAATCAAACTAAACTTCACATAGGGATGACCTTTTCATCAGACAACTTCCCTAACGCATCATGCCACGGATTTTTAAAGCATACTAAGCACCCCTATCATAACACTATAGCCTCAAAGCTCGACTCAAAAGCACCATGCATCTTTCACAACTTGCTCACTTACTCTAACACAGAGGTCAACGTCATTACCTTTCCTTCGCAAGTCATGTTCCCTCACACCAAAAAATAGAGAGTAGTTCTACACACAATAAAATTCAAGATCAGATAGGAACTCAAAGATAAACAGAATGCACTCAATCTCAGAATCAAAAATTCAAGTGCAACAGAAGACATACCATATGCTTTCTCATAGCGTAGTACTCTACTTATTGAGCTCATTCAATCAAATATCAAGTACAATTTAATTTTGGTTGCAATGTAGGCTACAGGACGGGTAGGATACAATTTGGATAATAGTGGCTACACCTCACTGAGCAATTTAATACATACAATTTCACAAATTCAAACCCCCACACTTATGTTGAACTAAACCCCAATCTTCACATCATATTAACACCAAGTTTTCAATTTTTTTAAGCACAGACAAAGTAGGATTTACCACTAGCAAGGAATAATTTTCTTTATAATATATACAAATACCACTTTTTTTATTTTTTTTTCTAGATTCTGATTTTCTCTTCTTCTTTTTTTCAATTCCCTACTAGTGACTCTCCCAATTTTTTTCAAACAATGCACTTTTCTCCCTTTCTATAGTTCCACTCAAAAACCCAACCATACCTCCACTTAGCTTTTAACAAGCTTAAAAATATATCAAGTGTTCAAGAGAGGTAAACAGTTCTTACAGATAGCCAATTCAAACAAAGGGGTCATACTTGTAGTATAGTTGCAAAAGAAAATAGGATTACAGGCTTAAAAGGGCTAACTAGGATACACAACAATTAGGCGGGTCACAGATATATAATTGGCTTAATAAAGAAATGCCTATATCACTTCCTAGACTGAACAAGATTGTTATTTCGCTTTGCAAACACACAGGGCAAGTTCTAGACATAACTGACATGCATAGAATATCAACACAAACATCACGCACACATTGGCACATAACTCACTTGGGATCTGATTTATCCCGACTCTCTAGTCAAAGAAGTTAAACAAAGTCACAATCAACCAATTTAAGGCATTTATCTAAGAGTCAAGAACTGAGTTGGGCGTCACAACTAAGGCACTCACCACTCTTAAGGCATATGCAGTCAAGAAAAATTGCGTCAAATAAGCACTGTGACTCAAGATTCTTTATTCCTATAAAACTAAAAAAACTAACTACACACGGTTCAATAATCCTACACTACAATTATCTAACTATTCTACAAAAGCAAGAAAAAATGTTAGAAGTAGTTATGAGTTATAATCGTCAGCTTGACTTCGTCACTTAGGCTCATTTGATCACGATACTAGAGGATTGCTTGTCAAATCCTCCAACCAGGTACGGTTTCAACCTGTGCCCATTCACTTTAAAGCTCGCATTCCCTTCCTCATCTTGGATCTCAATGGCGCCATACAGCGAGACATGTTTCACCACATACAGACATGTACATCTTGACTTGAATTTTTCGGGGAACAACCCAAGTCTACTATTGTATAGTAAAACGTTGTCCCCTTCATGAAACTCATTTGGCTTAATTAGACGATCATGCCACCTCTTTATTTTTTTCCTTTAAAAATTGCGCATTTTCATACGCGTTCAGTTTAAACTCCTCCAATTCGTTCATCTGTAATAACTTGTGTTCATCTGTAAGACTAAGATCAAGATTAAGCAACTTCATTGCCCAATAAGCTTTATGTTCTATCTCAACAGGTAGGTGACATGATTTCCTATAAACTAATTTGAACGGTGAAGTCCCTATGGTTGTTTTGAATGCAGTTCTATACGCCCATAGAGCTTCATCCATCTTTACAGACCAATCCGTGCGAGAAGCACTAATCATTTTTTCAGGAATTCGTTTAAGCTCACGGTTAGCCACTTCAACTTGCCCACTAGTTTGGGCATGGTACGGGGTTCCTATTTTGTGTGTGGCCTCATACTTAGACAGCAGTGCAACAAACTGCTTGTTCACAAAGTGCGACCCATTATCACTGATAATCACTTGAGGTGTCCCAAAACGGGTAAAGATGTTCTTCCGTAGGAACTCACACACCACTCGAGCATCATTGCTCCTAATAGGGATTGCTTTGACCCAATTAACATTTGTGAGATGCAGCTACATACGCTCGTGCATCTTTGTACAAAGTAGGCCAATAGAAACTGGCTTCCATGACCTTTGTTGCAGTACGGTTTCCACTATAGTGTCCTCCAGTTGCTCTTCATGGCAAGGGGACAGAATGCTTGTCATCTCTCCTTCAGGCACACATCTTCAAATCATACCATATGCACACAATTTAAAAAAGAAAGGGTCAATCCAAAAATAACTTTTTACCTCACCTTGAAACTTCCTTCTTTGATCACAAAAGAGGTCACGAGGTAACCATCCACTAGCCAAAAAATTGGCTACATTAGCATACCAAGACGACCTTTCGGAGACCGCAACAATGGAGAAAATCTTCTCATCAGGGAACTCTTCCCTTATTTCAACTGTTTCAACCGGAGGTCTCTCAAGTCGAGATAGATAATCAATGACTTGATTTTATGTGCCCTTCATATCTTTGATCTCCAAATCAAACTTTTGGAGCAACAACACCCACCGCATCAGACGCGGCTTGGACTCCTTCTTACTCAGTAAATATTATAAGGTCGAGTGATCAGTGTGTACAATCACTACTCCCCACCAGATATGATTTGAACTTGTTAAAAGCAAAGACCACATCAAAGAACTCTTTCTCAGTAGTGGCATACTTAATTTAAGAGAATCATTCAACATCAAGCTTGTATAGTAGATGGGCCTAAACATCTTATCATTTCTTTGCCCCAGAACTGCCCCCACAACTACATCACTAGCATCACACATTATCTCAAATGGCTGGCTCTAATCAGGAGTCACCATGATAGGAGCACTCATAAGTTTTTCTTTTATCAATTCGAATGCTCTTAAGCACTCCACAGTGAATACAAACTTGAAATCCTTTGCAAGCAATGAAATTAACGGCTTGGTAATGCTGGAAAAGTTTTTGATGAACCTTCAATAGAACCCAACATTGACGAGCGCAAAACACAACACGAAATTGATGCTCGCTAGCCAAAGATAGTATAGTTAAATTATCGTCTTCATAGGGATTGGGTTTAAACAACGCTCTAGTAATTTCTAGTTTAACTGTTATTCAGGATGATCGAAACTTGATTTGGATTAATTACGAACTACAATTAACTACTAAAGTAAATTAATTGATAATTGATTGCAAAGAACTAAAGATTAGCAGAGTTTGTTTCTTATCAATGTGAGGAATAAGGGTCATGACAGGATAGGTGCAAGATAGCTATTTGGGATTTAACTCTAGTTTAATTTACTCTAATGTTCTAATGATTCTCACGAATTCACTAGATGATTAGTTCAAATGTATAGTCAAGACTCCTCTCTCAATTAAATCTTAACTACGAGGTGAACTAATATAGGCACTGTGAAAGTATGTAAGCATGCATTAATGGATTAATCTTTAGGAAAACGTCTCTCGAATATTCTCTTAACTTGATTTAATCAACAATTCACAAGCTCTTTCGATTACTTAAGAGAATCACTGAATTAAACCAAACAAAATAATGCAAAGATAATTACCAAAATATTTCTCTTTCTATTAAATAAATCGGTGGATAAAGTTGCAACAATTCAAATCTCCATAAACGAATTCAAGCAAAGAACTAGAGTTAAAATCCACAAATATTTATCAAAATACCATATCCATAAAAACCTAAGGAAAACTACACCAAAATTATGGAGGAAGTCATCAAAATTATACTTAAAGAGTAAAAAAGTATCAATCTAACGTTACAGTCCAAACTCCCGTATTGAATTGATGAAAAGATGATGGAATCATATGTCTTGTAGCCTCCAATGCTCTCCAAAAGCTTCCAAGGTTAAAAATACCTTCAAAAACATCTTTTTGGTGTATTTATACCATGTAGGAATGGGCCCGCATGAAACTACCATTTCCAAGCAGAAACAGGAAAAATACTCTGAGAATTTTGTACATGCACTGCCCCATGTGGGGCGTTAGTGGGGAAGTTCATAGAGCCGATTCTGACAGACAGCGGCAAAATTACACTGCTGCCCCGCCCCATGCGGTGCGGCAGTATATTGTTTTACAGAGTACCATTGTTTCTTTGATTTTTGATATCCATACGCGGTCATCGAGCCCCGGACTCGATACCGATTTAATTTCTTGGACTTTTACTGAGACTTCAAAGATCCAAATTATTCGATTAAGCTCCCGATTATCTTTTTAACTTGAAATCACTTCCTGCAAGGCATAACACATAATACGTGCAATACACTAACATTTAAGCTCAAACACAAGTAAAATGCAGTAATTGGAGTGCAAACCATTAAGCATGTCCCAAGAAACTCCTTATGCTCTTCATAGAAGTCAGTGGAGGGAGCTTAGTAATTACATCAACCTTGGCTCTATCAACTTCAATGCCATGTGCAGTCAATTTGTGGCACAGGACAATTCCCTTTTTCACCATGAAGTGGCACTTCTCCCAGTTAAGAACCAGGTGAGTCGCTTTGCAGCGTTCAAGTACGAGCTCCAAAATTTTCAAGAAATCATCACCAAACGAAGTGAAATCATCCATTTATCCATCTAGACACTTCCCGTTTAGATTGGAGAATATAGACATCATGCACCTCTAAAAAATGGCTGGTGCATTACATAACCCAAATGACATCCTTCTGTAAGCAAAAGTACCTGACGGGCAAGTGAATATGGTCTTCTCAATATCTTCTGGGGCAATAGGTATCTGATTGTAGCCTGAGTACCCATCCAAGAAACAGTAACATCCATGTCCAGCCACTTTCTCGAGCATCTGATCAATGAAGGGAAGTGGGAAGTGGTCTTTCCTTGTCGCATCATTCAGCCTTCTATAATCAATGCACGTTCTCCACCCAGTGACTGTTCTTGTTGGGATCAATTCATTATCTTCATTCTTCACCACTGTCATGCCCACCTTCTTAGGTAAAACTTGCACTGGACTAATCCATTGGCTATTAGAAATAGGGAAAATCACTCCTGCATCTAACAATTTAATGATCTCCTTGTGCACTACCTCCTCTAGATTTTTGTTCTCAACTTACGTTGGGGCTGCACTACTAGCTTGCTATTTTCTTCCAACATAATTTTGCGCATGCAAATGGCTGGACTGATTCCTTGAATATCATCTATTGTCCGGCCAATGGCCTTTTTGTACTTTTTTAGCAGCTCCACCAGCTTTTGCTCCTGTGTACCTGTCAAGTAAGCAGAAATAATCACCGAAAAATTGATACTTTCAAGAAAATCATATTCCAAGTAAGTATGGAGGACTTTCAATTCCACATTAGGCTTAGAAGCCTCCTCTTTTAGTTCCTCCTCATCAACCACTTGACCCTTAGTTTCAAGAGTTTCAGCTTCTTTCTTTATTTCAGGATCTTTATCCTCCAATGTGCTAGACTGAGTAATACACCTATCTAGAGTATCCCACACAAGCATGTATTTTTCAGCCAATTCCCCAACAACATTTAGCTTGAATAATGAGTAGGCAGACACCTCATCATTGTGGTATTTCATCATTCTCTTCATCTAGAATACCATTTTCTCGTTTCCCACTCTAAGCATAAGTTGCCCCTCGTATATATTAAGGATTGCTCTACCTGTACATAAAAATGGCCTCCCTAGAATTAGAGGCACCTCCTTGTTCACCTCCATGTCCACCACAATAAAGTCCACGGGAAACACAAACTTGTCTACCTGTACTAGAATATCCTCAATAATTCCTTCAAGCAGGATGGTGGTCTGGTCAGCTAGTTGTAGGGACACTGATATTGATTTGATCACTCCAAGCTCACCTTCAAGTTTCCTAAACATGGACAACTACATTAGATTCATAGAAGTAGCATAATCACATAGGGCCTTGTCGAATTTCTCACTCTCCAACGAGCATGGTATGGTGAAGCTTCATGGGTCCCCATACTTTTAAGGAATTGTATTTTGCAATATGGCATTGCAATGGACATTCAGCTTGACCATTGTTATCTCATCTAATTTCATCTTTCTAGATAGGATTTTCTTCAAGAACTTACCATAAACAGGCATCTGAGTGAGTACCTTGTCGCGCCTCGTTTTCTCGCAAAAGCGAGTTTCGACGTGTGACAACCCGTTTAAGGAGGGGTTAAAATAGAAGAGTCACCATCTAACAATTTTTTAAGGTGCGTTAGGGCGCCTATTTACAGATAATTCTATTTGGCTAGTCTGCGTCACCAAAGATCGGGTAAGGGCTCAAATTACCTCGAAGAGAAGGTATTAGGCACTCTTCGAGGTCTGCAACTATGGGTCCCTCCCGAACTTTAAACTATGTGGATTATATGATTAGGCAAGGTGATATAATAAACAAAGGAAAACGTAGAAGTCGAAGAGTCTTATCATAACACCTGAGAGTCGGTACAAATGATTACAAGGTTACAACTACATTAATCTATGTTAGATGACTAAGTGCGAATAACAAATGGATAAATAAAAAGGTGGGGTCCTAAGTTTTTCAGCCTAAAGGATCACCCCGTGTAACATAAATAATATTTCGCAACTCCCTTAAGGTAAGGAGTTACTCATATTATTCAACGGGAACAGACTATCATCTCCTGCTACCCAATTACTATGTTGAAGTCGTTACCTAAAGATGCTCTAATTCAATTCTAAATAGTATCCTACACGTGCACTACTCGTCCCGTACCTGTGGTCTAGGAGGCTTTGGACCTCTATTTGGATGATTCTAGACTTTACCTAGGTTTCTCGAAATGATATAACTAATCGTCCATTCAAAACAAGTACGACTACACGAAATCAATACCAAAGGCTCAAATTCACCTCCTTATATAAACACAAATGCACGCTGTCAATTAGGCAGACAATCATAGTTATACTAGCTATGTTCAGATTATTTAAATGGACAACTATATATAAGCAGATTTGGTATGTTAAATTTTTCCAGACCTATAGCCATAGTTTCTATGTGATTTGAACTACTCAGAAATCAATGTAAAATTCCTATAGGCAGGATTTCTAGCTGACTGACTTTAGGTGTCACACAGGCAGTGTCGTTGTTCCAAGCTAACTAGCTTGCAGGTTACATATATTACAAACCTATAGACATGATTTCTAAGCTATTTGCGCAATAGGCGATGAAGGTTATTAGAAACTAGTAGTTACCAATGTTTGATTTTATGGTTATGCCTTCCAGGTGGATAACAGTGGAAGAGATTTCCAATAGGGCATTTGAGTTCACTTTTATCATACTTATTCCTATATGCATGCTATCTATGTGGAAGTGTAATAAAATGGCGGGAGCAGTTGATTAAGAGATTAATGTCCTATAATCATGATATCTTGATGGACAGTACACCAAAATAAAAGCAATTTGATTAACCATCTGAAGTCCTATAGGCATGAGAGCTAGAAAAAGCATATACATCCTATAGTCATGCTCTCTAAACACAAATATGGCGATTAATAGCAGGTTTAAGATAGTGTGCAAGTATTAGACAAATTAGGTGAGGTGTGTTCAATTCCTAGAGACATGACTTCTATTAGTGCACGAAATAACAAATAAGACATGTTAAATAAAATAGCGAATAGAACACAGACCCTATCGGCATGTTTTCTACCCTTTATGCAAGAACATAGCACATTCATTCCCCAATTTTGTTATATCCTCAATTATTCATTATTACAAGTTATTACAGCCCAAATAAAATAATGCAAGCCAAATATGACAGAAATACAGACTGAAACAAGTACGGGCCTCCATCAAATAGTACAGGCCCACTATAAAATAACCTAGCAAATTTCTGGGCCTTCAGCAGCCTTACCAACCAACAGACCCAAATCTCAGGCTCATAAGGACAGTAGAATCTTCCTGAATCTAGTATCCAGGTCCAACAACACATATAGCCCAACACCAGGCCCAACGAATAACCTACTTTGCCAAATGGATGCCAAACTTAACAATGCAGATGGCATACCACTCGCAGGATTAATTTAAACAACTTGTCACCCTTAACTCCTAAAGTTGTAAATAACAACAGTTCTAGCCAAAGCACATAGACAAAATCACATGAAATACTGACAAGTCTACAATGCAGGTTCATGCTTGTATTTTGTAAAACAAAGCTAAAGGGTCACTATTTCAAAGAGTTTCAAAAGTAAAATGATTCAGAATTAGCCTAAAGGACTTTAGACACATGAAATTCTAATAGAGTGAAATAGAGCATAGCGTTCACATGAAAGTTTTAACATGAAGGTCTAGTGAAAACAACATAACAGAACAAGTACATGATCGAGCAATTACTTAGCAAAAGAAAGTTATCATGCTGAACATTAATCACAGTACAAGAGACAACATCAAACTTCAACATTAGGAGAAGCAAGCATCAATTCTAATACTATTTGGCCATGTGTAGTGAAAGAAGGTCAATTGTAAGACTTATTCCTAAGGTCTTTACTGGTACTAAGGAATGCAAGATTGAGCAAGTCAGCAAACACACAATAGAATCACAAATGCATAATGACAGGTCCTCATAGACAGCAGGACCTGAAGAGTAACAAGTTAAACATGGACTAAATTACTTCCTAAGCATGAGTTTAGTTGACATAACAATCCAGGACAGGGTAGGAAAGCAAACTCTGGATTGACAACAAACATCGGCATAACATAACAGGCTAAACATGTTTAGTAGAGCCAGAATTCTCAATAGGCAAAGACACAGTAAGAACTAGATTGTCACATAAAGGCTGGATATTGCATTTCACCTTATAGACTATAATTATATTTAAACAACACAGGATTGAACTAAGCATGGAACACATGGTAAAGATCATAATTGGCTGACACCACAGTTAAGAATTGGTCACAGTAGAGTATCAGATATATTAAAACATATAAGTTGGTCTATCATAAGGATGCAAAACAAAGTAGGGGATAATCTCAGGGAGAGTAGTAGGTAATAAGAATTCAAATACACACATTAGGGTAAACATGCTTAAGAGAATCAAAAATCATTCATATTGAACACATGTAGTAGACAGATGTCAGATCTTGGAATTGTAGGCAAGTTCAAAATGCGAGAAAAGAGTTCAAAATGCGAGAAAAGAGTTTCAGATGAACCCCGGGCAGTGCTCGCACTAAGAAAGTTCAACTAGTCGAATTCTGGTGGCCTTGGCTTTCAGCTGGCCAAGAGCCAAAGTTCAAAACAATATAGAATGAGAGAATAAGAGAGTAATAGTGGTAAATTTCAGTGACCAAGTCCTCTCTAAAGGGAATTAGGGAAGGGGTTCATATAGTGTTCATATTAAGCAGACAAACATGGAAAATTATCAATCAAACACAAAGAAGGAAAGAATATATTGCATGCAATCAAAATCGGCAAAGGAGAAGGAGATTCTCAAACCCTAGTTGGGTTCATGCATATGAGAATCGAACCAATAATCAAGGATCCTTCCTTGTATGATGTATATAGAGGAGACATCATCCAAATCTCCACAGCATCATAGTCGACCAAACCCAATCTCGGAAGATAGTTCTTGCCAAAAATAAGGCAAGAACTCTAA